CCCGGCTCCCAAACCCAGTGTGGGTCCCCTCTGCCCGGAGGGCTTTCAGCAAGTGAGCATTTTTTTCTTGCTGTTGTTGACGAAAGTGCCGGCTGGTTGGGAAATATCCGTGCGGCAGCGCCAGCCCAGTCCCACGGGTCAGATCCTGCCCCTGCAGACCTCTGCTGGGAAGGGCAGCTTGTCCTGGGATGGCCTTTGGGGATGCTGCTAGCGGATAAGGGAGGGGGCACCCACTGCCTTGCAGGGCAACCTGGGCCTGAGGCCGCGAGCAAGCCCCTGGGATAGACAGATTCATGGATGGATGGATGGATGGACATCATGGGCTCCAGGGGGACCTGGTGTTTTATCATTTGCTGGTTGGGCTCTGCGGCAAAAGCAAAGTGCTGGAAGTTCATCAAGGACTGAATTAAAGTTGCCTGGCAACCTCCATCCTGGCTCCTCTTCCCACATCTCGCAGGATTTCCCACTCAAGGTCTGTTGGCTCCAGGGAAGGGGAGCCTGAAGCACACTGTGCTTGCAGCCATGCAGGGGCCAGGCTTGCCTCTTGCTGGATATCTCGTTTCCTGTAATTCCTCGGTTCATTCCCACGCCTGGGAGCTGGGAGCTCTCCCCACCTCATTCCCCAGGGCAGGCGCCTTTCCCCCTCTCCCTGCACCAGGAACGGGTTGGACTGTCTCATCTGAACACTGAGGGCAACTCACACAGGTCCTTGGAGGTGTAAAATGGTGCTGGGCCAGTGGGAATGCGGCGGGGGAGCTGAGGAGGCTTGGGGGGGGTCACCTGCCAGGCTTGGTCCTGGTGAGTAAATCTGAATTGGCTGCACAGGGTTTGGAGTGCCTGACCTGGGCTGCTGTGATAAAGCAAGGTGTAAACTGTGTCTCCTGGTGCAGTCCTGCCAGGAGTTCTGTTAAGGCTGTTTTTCAATCCCATAATGTGGAGGAGACCTGCTGGAAGCCAGAAGTGCTTGCTGGTAGAAGTGCATGATGCCAAAGAGGGCAGTCCATGAGAAGGGGAGAAGGGTCCAGCAGCCGTGGCAGGAGCCTGCTTCGGCTTTACTAGAGCTTGGTGGAGCAACCACAAGCTGTCCGTGGAGTAGCAGGATGGGGACGCTACTCCTGTCCTGCTCTGCAAATCTCTGTTCTGCCATGCAGGGTGGATGCTGGGGCTGAGCCAGAGAAGGGCTGCTTCCACCCAGCATTTCCATTTTTTCTCCTGGGTTCCTTTAAATTATAAAGCCAGCATCATTTTTGGCTGTGCTACCAAGGAAACAGCTATGGGAGGCCCGTAAGATCCTGGCTGAGGTCCCTCCATGTTTGCCAGCCCCACTGACAGCTCAGCTTCCCTGCACTGCAGCATGCAGCCGACTCTTGCTCCCAGGTTTCACTGCCTGGTTGCTTTGAGGACCATGGGGCAGCGGGAAGGGGCCACCATGCCCAGCAGAAGCTCCCGGCGCAGCGGCTGGTGGGGGGTGCGTGGTGTCTTTGGCCAGATCCAGGTTGGCAAGACCTGCCGCCAGGAAGTTCACTCATCAAAAGCATTTTGCGCCTCCACAGACGCTGGTCGTGGGGATTTTAAGGAGGTGCCGCCTGGGCCGGCTCGTTTGGGTGTGCTGTGCTTTGCTGTGCTGTGCTGTGCTGTGCCGGCTGGCTGCTGGTGGGAGGCTGAGGCCGGCACAGTCATGCTCACACACATGCTTCCGTTGTGACCCAGTAAACCCAGTCAGACCTGACCGGGGCTCGCTCTCTCCCCTGCACGCTCACGCACGCCTGCGTGCCTCTGCTGCCCCACTGCTTTCCTCGTGTTCCATGGAGACCAGCAAACCCGTTCCACCAGCGGGAGACAGCGCCGGGAGACGTGGCTGCGTCCTGCAGGAGCGCTGATTGCCGGCAGTGGGAGAGGGGCTTTGGCCCCCATGGATGTTGCACGCTGAGTTCAAAGTGGCTGGGTGCTTGTGGGGGTCGTCAGCGCCGCAGCTGGATCCTGACTCTACCACCCTTCTCCTTCAGTGCTGCCGGCCAGGGCAGTCCTATGTCGGCCCGTCCAGTGCTGGGAAGTAGGTGAGGAGCTGAGGGGCTCGGGAGCTCACTCCTGGGGGTGGGATGGGCCTTTCTGGGCAATTTTTCTCTTTCTGTTGGAGCTGCTGCTGCATTTCAGCCTCTTTTCTCCACTCTTTTGTGTTCCTCCCACAGAAAAGCTCTCTGTGGTGTTTCTTCTCGTGACTTTTTCTTGCTTCCCTTGGAAGTGCTAGGCTTGAGCAATCCAGCTGCCCCCAGCCCTACCAGTGGGAACCACGGACCAAGACCTCCTCTGCCTCCCTCCCTGGCCCTCGCCTTCACCCAGAGCTTTGAACTTGCGCCCTACCAAGGGGGAATGATGGGTCTGGGAGTATTTGGTGCGGCAGCAGCCTGGCGTGACGATCTGAGAGGGGTCAAAGATGGTTTCAGTTCCTTCTTGCTCTTTCTTCCCCATCCTAGGTATAAAAAATACAAAAAATAGAGAAGGTTGGGTCAGCCCTTCCCTTCGAGTAAAAGATTAACTGGCTCTTACAGCTAACTGATTAAATGTCCTGTAGGACAAAGTTACATCTGATCTCAAGCAAAGGGACCTTTGGGAATGAGTGTAGCAGCTTCTCCCCTGGGAAAAAGAGAGGATCCCAGCCCTGTCAGCAGGAGCAGCTGCTCCCCCCAGCCCCTGCCTGCCTGGGAACCCCGCACAGCCCCGCACCTTAATTCCTTATTTTTATTCGCCCCCCATGCTGGCTAGGTGCTGACTCTGATTAAACATTAGCCAGGGCTGGCTGGCATCGTGGCACTTGCCCTGTGATAAGCACCATCTCTGCCTCCCTGCCCAGCCATGCTCCCAGCTCCAATCCCTGTTGCGTCTGGAGCCAGGCAGCAAGCAAAGTTCGGTGCTTGTTCAGGGGAGATAAGGCGAGGATTCATGGCAGCGTGCAGGCAGCTCGCAGGGCTGTTGCTCGTTTATTACAGATCGTTGTTTGCCTTGTTGTAAGAAGGTTTCTCCTCCCCTCTGCTTTCCTAGCAAAGGTGTATGGCAGCTTTTGTGGCTTGTGCATGATTCCAGGCTCATGTCCCATGCAATGGCCTGGGGAAGGTCCCTGCAGCTGGGTGGCCCTGGTTCCACTGATGGTATGGAGAGCCAGCATGGGGCTGGCTCATGATTTTGGGTGCTTTGGTGGTCCAGATGTGACCACACCACTTGCTTTGCCCAAAAAAGCTTGGTGGGTTTGGCTTATGTTAGACATGGTGCCATCAAAGTAACTGCTTTCTCATTGACCTCCATCCCCACTCACCCACCTTGCATCACCTTGCCAGGCCCATCATTTGCTAGCAGACCCTTGGTCTGGACAGGGCTTGTCCTGGGAGCAGGAGTTACTTGGTGGGGAAGATGCTCTGGATCATCATCCTCTGTTTGCCAGGGAGCTCAGCCCCATGGGCAGCACCCTGTCTGCACCCAGGGTTGGGTGCTCTGTGCTGGGCTGGTGTCTCGGGGGCAACAAGGCAGGAAGGAGCAGCGGAGGACACATCTCCCTCTGCGCCATTCCCGGGATGCTCCGGGGCAGCAGCCAGTACAGGTGCAAGGTCTGCGTCTGAATACCCGCCAAGGAAACAGTGGTTTAATGCAGGATCCAGGACTGCATCTGGATCCCGCATTCAGCTCCTTGCTTCTCCTTTTGAGCCCCAAAGCCCTTTTCACTTCCATTTCACTGTGGTTTTACCTCCCCTCTGCCTGAGACACGGTGAGGTATTTGCTTCACAGAAACTGTCTGCAGCAAGCGTGTTTGGACACCTTCTGTACAGGGCCAGGTATTGCTTTATATAGATAAAAAATCCCCAACAACTATACAGGTGGTGGTTGCTTAATGGGGAGCTGTCCTGCTCTAGATAGCCAGTCATCTCCTTCCTCCTTAGTGCCTGTAAAATGAACCAGTGGCTTTGCTCAATGCAGCCAGGAGAGGTGGAGGGTTATTTGGGAGGGATTGGAGGCATGAAAGCGAGAGCTGAGGTAGATGCTGAGTTTCAAGGCAGCTTGGGATGAAAGAGGAATTGAAATCTTATGGATAAACACTGGAAAGAAAAAACTGTTCTCACCTGGAAAGACTTGATGATGATGCCAAGTGGTTCTTGCGTGGATTTTCCTTCACCCTGCGTCGCTGCATGCCTGAAGCATCCTTCCCCCTGCCTCTGGCCTCAGGAGTCTCATTTCAGGAGGGGCAAAACTGTGGGAACACGTATCTTTCATGGCAAGAGCCACGAACTGTGGCCATCCTATCCCTGTTCATCCTCCTGGTCACCATCAGCTGTGCTTCCAGGGAGGAGCAGAGCCTTTGGGATCCCCAGGACCCCCCTGCCACCCCTCCTGCCACAGCTGGGGGACATTGCTTGGGGTACCCCAGTGTGCCAGGAGACCTTCAGAGGGGCTCGGCCCTAAGCCCTCCTCTCTGCTTTTGGGTGTTAATGTGTCTGCTTTCTGGGTGTGAAAATGCAGTGGGGGATCAGCTCTCTCTGCTGAAGCATATCCTTCAGTCAGGGGGAGGATGGCTGAGAGCAAAGGAGGGAAGATCCTGGAGCAGACTTGGAGGAAAATGAGCCTCCAAGCCACCAGCACTCAGCAAGTGGCTGCCATGGAGCGGACACTGAGCCAGGGGCTCTGCTCAAACTCCCCTCCCTGCCCTGTGCTGGCTGCAGGCTCAATGCCTTGCACTACTGCTTTGGCAAACAAGGGCTTGCTTTTCCCTGAAGCTGTCCCTGGGCTGAGGCCGTGCCTGGTCAAGCATCCATGCGTGTGTGCAGCCAGCTCCTTCCTGAGCCCACTTGCTGGTGAGGTGCTGGAGGCAGGAACGTCTGACCCGCTGCTCTGTGTTTCAGGAGGGTTTGGCAGCTGTCCCCATCCCAGGGAGCTGGGGAGCGTGTCCCAAGGATCGGCTGTGCCGGCCCAGCAGCCGTGGGCTGGGCAGCTGCCCTCAGTGGGGCAGTGGGAAGATGAGCAGAGGCACGGCCCATCTCCTGATGGCTCTCTTCATGGCGGTGACGGTGGTGATCGGTTACCCATCACGGCGCTCTGCCACCGACCTGGATGCCACCCCCAGGACAACAGTCACCTTTGAGGGTAAGGGGGTGTGGGTCTGGGTGGTGGCAGTGAGGGTCTTGCAGCACTGGATTTGGTGCATCGTGACTGCGTCCAGACTTCCCAGGCCCCTGCAGAGGGGGTCTGAGCATAGCAGGTGGCTACAGGGTGTCCCCTGGGCTCCAGCAATCAGAGCCCGCATGGCTCTCTTGTGTTGGTGCCTGGAGTTGATGTGCCCTGAGGGATGGAGCAGGGGAGGTGCAAACGCATCTCCCCAATAGCCAGTGCAGGGAGGACATGGATGTACAGGGAGCCAGCCTGGGCCAGACCCTGGCCCTGCCCAGCTGCCCTTGAAGAGTGTCCTGAGCTGGGCATCACACCCAAATAGTCAGCGGGGAGCTTTCTTCCATGGTTTTCTCTAATTGCCACTAGGCTCTTGGCCTCCAGCTTCTGTGGTGTCAGCCAACCCCATGGTGTCATTGTGCCGTGGGCATCCACATGACTTCACTGACCTCTTTAGTGAAGCCCAGCTCAGCAGCTGGCAGTGGTTCCTTTGAAGCTGGGGTGCCCTTTCGTCGTTCAGGCAGTGCATCCTTTGGGGGGTCATTCTGTCTCCAGCTGCCTCCAGGGTCCCAAGCCCCATGGGACTTTCCCCTCCTGTGGCAGGAGGGTCTGAGCCTGGCTTGGGGTCCCTCTGGCCGGGGCATTTCTCAGCACCCCAGGTGGAATGGTTTCTCTGGCTCAGTGGGCAGGGAGCACCCAAGCTCGCTGCAGAAGCCCTCCCCTTCCACAGTAGTTTTGGTTCAGGATTTTTGCATCCTTTTGGGCTGCCTGGGTTCAGTTCAGAGCTGGGATCACTGCCGGTGTGTTTTCGCTTCCTCTGATTGCTCCCCAAACAGTGTGGCAGATCCATGCTGGACATGGACATTGCAGCTCCCACCCCTGAACTGCCATTTTAATTCGTGGGGAGAAATGTCCTCTTTGAGCCTGAGCCCAGCTAGTGCCTCCTACCAAACCTCCCCTCTTCCTTTCCTCCTGCTGTAACTGCTGGCACCCACCACCATCAGCCCAATAACCTCAGTTGGTGCTTTCCCACCTGTTCCCAGCTCCATCCTCTGTCTTTTCCTGGTGCCTTGCGCCATGCCTGCCCCGGGGTCCCCCTTAGTCCCCTGTTCCCTTTGCAGAGCTGTTGGGCGTCCGGCGCTTCAGAGCGCGCACCCTCAACTACAGCACCCTGCTGCTGGAGGACGACCGGGGCATCCTCTACGTGGGTGCCAGGGGAGCCATCTTCGCCCTCAACTCCAGTGACGTGGCCGACGTTTTTCCCCGCGTGGTCCCCGGCCCCTGCCCGCTGCTAGCTGGTTGTCCTCTCCTGTCCCACTGTGCCCATTCCCTGCCTGAATTGGGCCATCCTATCCCTGCTCATCCTCCCGCTCGCTGTCTCGGGTCTTGCCTGGAGGTGCTGTCCCCAGGGGACATCTGGTCCTTCTCCCCAGCCAGGCAGTGTGGGGACAGTGGTGGGAGATGCCCCCAAGCTCAGAGCTGCTTGCTTCAGGAACACCTCATCAGGACGAGGGACAGGGGGGAAGTGTTACACCTTTGCTCCCACTGGGAAGGATACCCCAAAATTCCTCCAGGCGCCTGTGGGTTGGGGTCTGGAACCACTCTCACCCTGGGCTGGGGATGTGGGTGTGGATACCATCTTGTACAGAGGATTTTAGCATCTCTGAAGGCTCTGGCAGAGGCTGGAGCCTGCAGTGATGGGGGACCATGTGGTGATGGGGGAAGTCGCTCTTCCCCCTGCAGATCCAGTGGGAAGC